AAGCAGACACAGGAGAGTTGCTTTAGCTCAGAAATCCTACAGTTACAGCTGAAACAGAATGTGAAGAGAGACTCTAAGATTAAGGATTTGAAACCATTTTTGGATGAAGAGGGACTGATATGTGTTGGAGGGAGACTTCAGAACTCTGATCTTAGTTTCAGAGAGCAGCACCCCTGGGTGCTACCAAGCAGTCATAAATACTCTGAGCTATTGGTTCATTCTTGTCATGAAAGGGTGATGCATTCTGGTGTTGGAGACACTTTAATCCAAGTGAGGGAGCAATACTGGATCTTGAGAGGGAGACAGTTCGTTAAACGCATTGTTTCTGGATGTTTTATTTGCAAGAAGCTAAAGGTTAAAGTGGTGCAGCAGATTACTGCTCCTTTTCCTCAGGATAGAGTAACAGAATCAGCTGCATTTGAAGTTACTGGGGTGGATTTTGTGGGACCCTTGTATGTTAAAACTAAGAGTCAACCAACAAAGGCTTACATTTTATTGTTCACTTGTGCTGTAACAAGGGCAGTACACTTGGAGTTAGTATCAGATCACACCACTGAAAACTTCCTGCTGGCCCTAAGGAGATTTATTGCTAGAAGAGGGCTATGTAGGATCATATATTCTGACAATGCTAAAACATTTAAAAGGGCAGATAAGGACTTGAAGGAGATGTGGCAGGTGATTAAAGGCTCAGAACTCACCAAGTTCTTTACCGAGAAAGGAATCACCTGGAAGTTCATTGCTGAGCGGGCAGCTTGGTGGGGGGGCTTCTGGGAGAGGCTTGTGAGATCTGTAAAAACATGTTTGAAAAGAGTGCTGGGGAGGGCCTCATTGAATTTTGAGGAACTAACAACTGTGCTGACAGAGTTTGAAGCAGTGTTGAACTCTAGACCATTGTCTTATGTATATAATAATGTTCTAGAACCTCAGCCACTAACCCCTTCTCATTTCCTGGTTGGAAACCGACTAACTTCTCTACCACCAAAGAATCTGTCTTCCCAGCCTCACACCCCCATTTTCAACAAAGAGGAGCTGGGACGACGATGGAAATACCGCCAGCAGGGTCCGAAATTAACACTCGCCACTCGCCAAATGCGAGCAAATTGCTCCATTTGGCGAGTAAATTTTTGAGCTCTACCTGCCACCTGGCGAGTAAATGTTAGCACCAAATTAGTTATGTTTATCAGTCATCTTCCATGGATGTCTGATTCTCCTCCCGCCTGCATGCAACGTACACAAACGTACGCGAAACGTGAACGCCGCATCCAACGTCATTTCCACCTATCCCATTCAATCAGTTTATCAAGTTAGCAGTTAGCTTCGTGTTAAAACTAGTGGTGAAATGTGGCGGTTTTTAACTGGAGTCAGCCAGCTTTCCTAAAGAGAACTTGTCGAACTGGAAGAAAAACCACCAGGACCAGTGGCAACCATAAGATTTTGTGAAAAGTGGCGAACTGGAGATGACGGAGTCATGAGACAATGGCTACATTATGATGGCCACGTAGCATTGCTGCCTTTCACAGACAACATTCCCTCGGCATTCTTCAAATATCCAAAAAATGCCCATATTTCCGACTTTGTCTTCTTTGAGGGATAATAAATGTCCCGAGTGCTGCCGTCTCCTCCTGCCATTATTTCAGCTTTAGCTTAAAGAAAGTTTTGGTCATAAACAACAAAGTGCGCATGTGCCGCGGGCAACTTCAGCAGATGATACGGTGACTGGTAAGGGTCACCGCGCCTACACCGCAGCCACGGTAATCCACCGAGATAATTTTTTTTTTTAAAAACAAGACGGTTATTATTATTGTTAGCTTCTTTACCGGGGTTTACCACTACACCGGTTACCGTGACAACCCTAGCCCTGACACACTTTCAGATATTCTCATGGTGCAGCTGTGTTCTCCAGAGATCAAGGACTATGACCCAAATGAGGCTGTAATGCTTTGGCACAAAGACGGTGTCAGAAGCAGGAGGCCAGACTTCATGGACAGAGAAAACAAGGAGTCTGACTAGATTTCAATGAAAGAGTTCATAAAAACATCTCTAAAAATAAATAAATAAATAGTAAAAATGAAAAAAGAGTTGTTTTTCTTATTAATTGATGTTTTAATTATTTTGTCACTGTTTGGAATCAACATAATATAGAATAACATGCTTTAGGTAGATCTAAATCATTTAGAATTTTGGCCGGTAAAAAATATGCTTGGCCGGTAGATTTTCATCATCTACCAGCCAACTTGGCCGGTGAGTAAAAAATTTAATTTCGGACCCTGTTTGCATGTGAGTGAGAGTGTTTCTCTCCAGTTGACTTGAAAGAAACTGCAGCTTTCTCATGATGGCCTTCACGAGGCTGTGCATTTCATGAACAAAAAGGTCAATTGCCTTGCAATATGGTGTTCAGTTCATTCATCAGTGCAGTCACATCAACAGCAAATGCAAAATCTGCCATCCAGTCCTCATCTGAGAGCTCTGGAATGTCTTTGCCTTTCCTCTCTCAAAACTCTCGAATCTCTGCTTTCGAGTCCCAAACCCTCTTCAGCACTTTCCCCAGGCTGAGCCATCTGACAGCTGTGTGGAGTCCTCCAAAAGAGCGACAAACTCTCTGATTCATTGCCCGCGCCCTGATGAAGTTTATTATTTTAGTAACAACATCAGTAACATGGTTGATTTTAAGCACTGACTTGCACAACACATGTTGGTGTATAATACAATGCAAAAACACCAATTTTTGATCTGCATCGATTTCTGTCACTTTATCTTGCATGCGTTTCAAAAGTCCGACATTTTTCCCTGTAAGATTTGGACAACCGTCTGTTGTGACACCTGACAGTCTCTCCCATTTCAATCCCAGAGTGTCCATGCACGCATTTACCTCTGTAAAAAGATCACTCCCTGTCGTTGTACCTTTCACCGACCGCATTGCTGCCAGCTCCTCTGTGAGCTTGAAGTCCGTTATCCCCGGACAAATACGAGCAGCTGGGCTGTGTCGCGGACATCACAGCTCTCGTCTAAGTTCAATGAGAAAAAGTCAAAACTTGCCACTTCACGTTGCAGCTGAAGCTCCAGGTTCCCCGCAATGTCCTCGATCCTCCTGGTCACGGTTCGCCTGGACAGCGGGATTTGCTCAAATGCGCCTTTTTTTCAGGGCATATTAGTGCGGCAGAGTCCACCATGCACTCTTTGACAAACTCTCCCTCCGAAAACGGCTTGCTGTTTTTAGCTATTTTGTGGGATATCACAAAGCTGGTCCTGGTTGCTGCATCCCTGGGTGTGTGAAGCTTAGTAAAAAAGCCTTGCTGCTTTTGCAACTTTGCTAGCAAAGCTTTGGATGTCCGTGCCCTGTCAGCATCAGACAAGTTCTTGTATTTTTCCAAGTGTTTCTTGTCTTAATGCCAACTCAAATTGTAGTCCTTAAACACGGCAATCTCCTCCCCGCAAACCAAACACACGGCTTTACCTCCGACTTCAGTAAAAAAAATATTTAGCAGTCCAATTTTTGTTGAAAATCCTGCATTCGGCATCTAGCTTTCTTTTTTTTTTTCTTTTTTTTTTTTTTACATGAGCGGACATTTCTGGGGGCTACAATCACCATGTCAACCGCGGGCACTTGTTGCTATACTTATTGGGTCATTGTGCACGTAAAATACAACTTCAAAATAAAAGAAATGCAGCCTTAGTCCATGCATGAGAAAATACTTTTATTTTGTAATTTCCAATTAACCTTACGCGGGCCGGTCAAAGTCAACCAAAGGGCCGTATGTGGCCCGTGGGACGTAAAATGCCCACGTTTGAGCTAAGGATTTAGCTCCGAGTTGTCTTCATAAGTTTAATAATTGTGGATGGGTTGTAATTTTCTCCAGATTAATGAGTCTAAGACAGAGTTGATTATGTTTGCACCAGGTGGTGCTCCTGTAGTTACTCAGTCTCATATGATGAAAAGGATGTTGTCTAATTTGGGTGTTAAGATTGATTCTCAGCTTAAATTTGATGTTCAAGTCAATAATGTGGTTCAATTAAAATTTTTTCACCTAAAGATTCTTTGAGTCTTTTTGATGAGGAATCGTTTTGAGAAGCTTATTCATGAATTTAATGCATTTTGTTTAGACTACTATAATAATCTTTACTTGGGTGCTGATCATGGATGTATTGCTTTACTGCAGCCCGTCTTTTGACTGGCACTTGTTTGATCATATCACTCCAGTTGTTGCCTCTCTGCATTGGATCCCAGTTCAGTTCTGTGTTCAATTTAAGATTTTGGTTCTGGCCTACAAATGTTTAAATGGCCTTGCTCCTAGCTCTTTATCTGGAATTCTAGTGCCATATGACCCATCTTGTGGATTAAGGTCAGCTGACCTAGTGAGCGGAACTAACTGTCATCACAAGCTGCTGATATCGCAGCATGATGCTCATTATTATTTTATGGGTTACAGACGAGTGTTGATGCTCTGTGTTTTTTTTTCTGCAGTGAGCCTTACAATCTCACCTCTTTCCACCCACAGTTTCTTCTTAAAACACGTATTACATTTACTGTTTTGATGCATTTTAATGAGCTTCCTCCGTGCTGTGATTATATTGTAGGATACAAACTTTACAGAACTCTCACGGAGTAAAGGTTCGGCAGATATGTTTGTTTACATTTTTACCACTGCGCGCCTTCAATGTTAGGGAAAGGAAGGAAGGGGCTGACGCGAAGCTGCTGTAAGGGTATCTCTAGGCTCCACAGTAGCAGTGACGGACAGCTTGGTTTGACCGGCTCTGAGAGGCGTTAATCAGAATTTGCAGATAGCGTTTTTTTCCTTCTACCAATCGCATAGTGATGTCTGGACTTAAAAGCAACTCATTAGATTCATAGTTATTTGTTAAAGTAATGCATTACCATAAATATTAACCTGTTTAAAAACATTGTTTATGTATATTACTGATTGCAAAACCCTCCTAGGGCTTTTGTCTTGTCCTTTTACTGAATATTTTTCTTTTATATATTTCTGCTTGGTTCACTGCAGTTTCAAGGAAGAGCGAAGAGACGGATGAGAAACCTGTGCTCTTACATTTCCACAACCATCAAATGAAAGACGGAGGTGTCCCAACCAGCAGCTTGGCTGGGCAGATGACAGCAAAAGTTTGTGGTGGAAGAGAAACTAGCAAGAACCTAGTTCTGGACCCTAATGAAAAGACATCCGATTCTTCAGAGATTGAAGTTAGTGGACAAGATGAAGATGATTTGAATCTAGACTCTGAGCGTTCAGACTCTGGGCCTGAAACTGGAAATGGAGACCATGGCTGTAATGAGAACAAGTCTTTGGAGACAGATATTAAGACAGTCAACAAATCATTTAGCTGCCCTGTGTGTGGTATACGGTTCCTCCACAAGTGGTCTCTTCAGGAACATGTGAGAGTGACAATTCATTCAGCAGTGAAGTCTTCAGAGTGTTCGGTCAATACAAAATGTGTGAAAGAGAAGCAACATGGAGAATCATGTAGAAAAGTCCAGAAACAACCGAAATCATTTAGTTGTGATGACTGTGGCAAAAAATTTAGCCAAAAGTCCAAATTAACCCGTCATATGAAAGGCCACACCGGGCAGAAGCCTTTTGCCTGTGAGCTCTGTGGACAAAGATTTAGCCAGAAAAATAATTTAAACACACACATGAGAGTTCACACAGGAGATAAGCCTTTTGCCTGTGAGCTCTGTGGATACAGATGTACCCAAAAGGTAAGTTTAAACGATCACATGAGAGTCCACACAGGAGAGAAGCCTTTTGCCTGTGAGCTCTGTGGGAAAAGATTTAGCCATAAAAATAATTTCAAATGTCACATGAGAGTCCACACAGGAGAGAAGCATTTTGCCTGTGAGCTCTGTGGACAAAGAATTAGCTCGAAAAAGCATTTAAACTATCACATGAGAGTCCACACAGGAGAGAAGCCTTTTGCCTGTGAGCTCTGTGGATACAGATGTATCCAAAAGGCAAGTTTAAACTATCACATGAGAGTCCACACAGGAGAGAAGCCTTTTGCCTGTAAGCTCTGTGGACAAAGATTTAGCCGGGAACATAGTTTAAACACACACATGAGTGTCCACACAGGAGAGAAGCCTTTTGCCTGCGAGCTCTGTGGATACAAATGTACCGAAAAGTCACATTTAAACAGACACATGAGAATCCACACAGGAGAGAAGCCTTTTGTCTGTGAGCTCTGTGGACAAAGATTTAGCCATAAAAATAGTTTAAACACACACATGAAAGTTCACACAGGAGAGAAGCCTTTTTCCTGTGAGCTCTGTGAATACAGATGTACCCAAAAGGCACATTTAAACACACACATGAAAGTCCACACAGGAGAGAAGCCTTTTGTCTGTGAGCTCTGTGGATACAGATGTACCCAAAAGCCACGTTTAAACAATCATATGAAAATCCACACAGGAGAGAAGCCTTTTGCCTGTAAGCTGTGTGGATACAGATGTACCCAAAAAACAAGTTTAAACAGACACATGAGAGTCCACACAGGAGAGAAGCCTTTTGCGTGTGAGCTCTGTGGATACAGATGTACCCAAAAAGCAAGTTTAAACAGACACATGAGAGTCCACACAGGAGAGAAGCCTTTTGCCTGTGAGCTCTGTGGACAAAGATTTAGCCATAAAAATAATTTAAACACACACATCAAAGTCCACACAGGAGAGAAGACTTTTTCCTGTGAGCTCTGGGAAAAGATTTAGCCATAAAAATAGTTTAAACTGTCACATGAGAGTCCACACAGGAGAGAAGCATTTTGACTGTGAGCTCTGTGGACAAAGATTTAGCCGAAAGACAAATTTAAAGAGACATACGAGCATCAACACAGGGCTCGAGGGAGTTATTTAACATTACTTCCAAATGCACTATTTGGTTTTTTTTACAACCTTAATATTAGTCTTGTACCTCTGCTCAACTATCGTTGATTGGCCCTTGAGCCACCTCTTCTTTTGATTTTCATTTTCAAAACTCCTTCGTTTATTAAACTCAGACCTTAACCAAACATTTGAGAAGTTCCTTCATGATTTCTGAATACAAAAAATATATTACTTAAAGATTAAGAAAAAACTGTTATACCCTCCGGTATTTAAGAAACAGACAATATAACAGGCACGTGATGGTTGTAGTAGATAACCCACTGCAATTTAAAGCTGTTAGATACCTGTGGCGTCTGCTTTAAACAATTATCTGTATATAAAATAATAGCATACAATGTTGTAATAACTGCAGCTTAAAAAGAATGTGTCTTTATTCATTTGGAGCCCCTAAGAAGAAATCCCACCTTAAAGGCTGTGTAGAGACAGCTGGGTCTGTTGTCAAGAAGTCATAAATTACAAGGCGGCTCTGTGGAGACTCCATTTTCCTACAATAGCATTTTGCTATTTTAAGCAGGCTTAGGAATGTGCCTGTACCAGAGTTTTTAGGGATGCTGTTTCAGAGTTATAAGCAGTGGACAGATGCCGGAAAGACAGAACCACTTTTGGGCTGCATGGTTCTCCACCAGTGTACCAAAGCTTGCATTAACATGGACTAGATTGTAATAAACTTGTTATCTTTTTTAACTTAAACTTTGCCATGATTGAGTGATAGCACTCCAAGAAACAGCTCAGCATGAAAATTAACCACATTCCCTTTATTTCTGATGACACACAACTAATCACTGCTGGTGGACAAATAATCACAGACACTTAGCACTTCTGCATGCGTTCTGCATTTGCGATGGGTACTGAATTCGGTACTTTTTAAGGTACCGACCGAATTCCATAGTACCGACTGAGCACCTATTTACGTCATTTGAAACGGTGCCTCGTTTCGTTACCCATCCTTCATAACGAGAACTTGCCAGGACAGCTGCGCATGCGCAAGAGCATTATGTCATCGGTCGCTGCGAGCCAGTTGTAAACAGTGCAGCATGGTAGAAAGAACGCACGCCAAAGCTTGGGTCCACTTCACTAAATGTGATGGGTAACTGAGTGATGATGAAACCAGCGACAACGATCTAAGTGAGGCATCGTCATCTTAATCTGCTCCGGTAGGTAAATAAAATGTTTAAGATAACATTAGCTTGATATATTAGCTTCCGTTTCGCTAACGGTGCATTCGCTTTCTCCTCGGACCTCCGAATTTCCGACTAGAAGAACATGAACACGCTCTAAAGTTTGGTTTCACTTTACTAAATGCGACGGGTGATTAGGTAATGAAACCAGCGACAACGATCTAAGTGTGAGGCATCATCGTTTTAATCTGCTCCAGCAGTTAAATAAACTGTTTAAGATAACGTTAGCTTGATATGTTAGCTTCCATTGCCACCATTGTTATCAGCTAATGGTGCGTTCGCTTTCTCCTCTGAAATTCTAACTTCCCAGTAGGAAAAATCAAATGAAAAAGGACAGCAAAAGGAATGAAGATACACAGTAAATTTAGTTCACCGTAAAGATGTTAGCTTCAGTTTAATTATCAGCTTATAAAACTACAAGGACGATGTTAAAATACATATTTATCAAATATGGTTATAAATTGAGAAAAAACTATTTAATTATAAAAGAGAATTAAAATATTAAACACTCAAAAGTATCGAAAATTGGTACCATTAAGTACTGGTATCGATTCCTAGGTACCGGGCATTAGTACCGAATCGATTGAAATGTCAAAGGTACCCATCCCTATTCTGTATTCAGTGTGAACGAGGCTTCACGCCCTCTCTCAGTAGCGCAGCATCGTGCGGTTGTCCTGTTCTGATTTTTTTCATGTAGTTGTGGTTTAGGCATTTTTTTGCCATTATCACTGATAAAAGCTGTGGGTTTATTCATTTGTGAATTAATTAAGCAATACAGGTCACAGTCCAATGTTTTTGTTTTGTTTTGATTTTTAAAGGTTCAGCAAATGCTGTCGAATCACTGAACGCCGTCATCTTGGAAATGAAATATGAACTGTTTCCAAGTACCGCTGTAAAGTGCTTGCATACCACTAGGCAGAAGAAAAAATATTTGTATATAATAATAATAATAATGCATTGAACTTATATAGCGCTTTTCAAGACACCCAAAGTTGCTTTCACACACACTCACATTCACACACTGCTAGTGATGGTAAGCTATTTGTAGCCACAGCCGCCCTGGGGAGGTCTGACAGAGGCGAGGCTGCCCTTTGGCGCCGTCAGCCCCTCTGACCACCACTAACACAGGCAAGTTGGGTGAAGTGTCTTGCCTAAGGACACAACAGCAGGATACCCCTGGCGGGAGCTGGAATCAAACCCATGACCCTCCGGTCATGAGGCAACCCGCTCTATCACCTGAGCTAGCTGCTTTCCCAAGATTTGCTCACAAGGTGCTTTATAAGAATGACAAAACTAAAAAAAAACTAAAAAAACTAAAAAAAAAAAGACGAACAAAGACCATAATAATATACAAAAAAAGGGAAATTTTTAGACTAAAAATGAATCCTGAAAAAGACAGACCTGACAGAGCCAGTAGTGTGGAAAAAAAGCTATTGAGGAAGAATCATGAACAATGTGTGTTTAGATGGTAAATGACACAGTTCAGAGCGGTTCTGGTTCAGTCCGCTGTTGGATCATCAACACTTGACAGGAGACATGATCGTCTTTTATACAGAATGTCTTGTGTCTTCATCTGTCTAGGGCTGTTATGATGGTTTTATTTTTGAATCATTGTTTGAATGCTGTTAAGCATTCAAACTGTTTTCCTGTTTTCTTCTTATTCTGCTTCGGTACACTTTTTGAACCTTTTCTACTCCTTCAAATTTTTAGCTATTTCACCAAAACATTCAGCTCGTTAAGCTCTTTCCGGCTATTACTTTTGGCATTGATATGTTTAAAATTTTTCGAGTTAATAAGCTTTTTCTGGGAAAATGTTTCCATTGAAATTAATGGGATTGGTCAATTTTCAGCAAATTCCTATCACTTTTTTGACCTAAAACTATTGGGTTCCTTTTAACTTAGAGACTTCATTCAAAGTTTAACAAACTCACAAGTCTTTCCTGTTTAACATATTAAAGAGGCTTTTTGATATCTTTTACGTTTTTTCTAAAATCGCAGGTAGAAGTTGAGGTACGACTTGAAATTTTCAGAAAAATTCACAAAATTTATAATGGCAAAAGATAGGAGCAGTGACCCTCCCTTGCTCCATTTCTGGCGTTGTCCCGAGAGAACCATAGGTCCGATTGAAATGAGACACACGCTGGCTTACAGCTAACGAATATACCTTCGGTTTGAGCTATAATTCATGACTGTACTCCAAACATTGTGGTCGTACGGTTCATTTGTTTGAGAAAATTCAAATTTAAAAAAATGTTTCCCACCACTCTAAACTGAAAATTCCGCACTCTAACTTTTGAACTTCACATCTTCTGTGAACAACTCTTTACTACCTCCAGACCGTTTGGACTACCGAAACAAATTAAAACTCAAAAAGTAGGAATTTTTGTCAGCTTTTCAGAATGGGTTTCATTTTATCTGTAATCCGTTCTTTTGCTACAAGCCTCAGAAAGAGGAGAGACCCAGATTTTCCCTCATTGAAACCCATGTTAAAGGAACAGAGATTTTCTCCTCTGATCGTCTTCAGACAGCTAAAAGTTTCTCTTCATGGTAGGTACATAAAAATTCACACAGATGATCATCAAAGCCTTCTGCCGCTCACGCTTTTTGAATTTTTGAATTTGGTGCAGTACTTTTCGAATGGTGATGAGAAGTTTGACAGGTCCAATTTCACTTCTGAAGGACAGATTTAAAGGCTTCTCTCATTAACAGGAGTACAGCTGCAGGCCTCCAACAGCCAGGGGAAAAGGCGGGAAAACAGTGCTGCTCTCTGATTGGTTGAGAGTGTTCAACCATTTTCTGTCCAATCAGGATCCAGCACCCACACATATGACACATCAAATCAACCAGTTTGGTCTCAGGAATCTTGTATTCAATTTTAAATGTGTTATCTGTTACCATGGCAACACAAGGAACTACAAATCACTTTAACCAAGTCTCATAGGAATGAATATTAAAAAGCTGAATATTGAGCCAATAACAGACTCCTGTTTTTGATCTTTTTGAACTCTCTGTACTTAAAACTAGAAACAAGTTATGATTGACCGTCAGAAGGTGGGAAAGTGCCCCGCTCCCTCCCAGCTCCGTGATTGGTTGAGAGAGGTCAATCATCTTTGGGCTAAATGCAATTACACATCCACACATGTGAGACATCAAATCGATCGGCTTGCCCTAAGGAATTCATCCATCCACAAATAAATCCATACATGCTTCTATCCATCCATCCATCCACCCATCTAACATCCATCCAACAATCCATCCGTTATTTCATTCATCCAACCATTCATCCCTCCCATATCAAGTTTGAACATATGTTCATCTATCAGTTTCAGATATCAGCAAATATTTCTAAATTCACAGTTCAGCCAATTGTAAAAATGTACCCATTAAACTATTATCATTCAAATGCCAGCTGTTTAATATTTCAAATTTTGAGTTTTTAATCAATGTTCAAAGATTAAACTTTTCTGCTGTTTAGCATTTTTTGTCCATTCTTCACCTATATTCTGAGCTTTATTACACTTGCTGGGGGTTTTTGCTTCTAAATCTTTAAATTAGGGGTGGGCCTTTATCGGCGTTAACGCGCTGCGGCAAAGCCAGACTCTTATCGCGCGATTAAAAAAAATGACGCCGTTAATCTATTCTCAAAGTTGGGTTTTGATCTGGGTCTATACTAAGTAAGCTATGATGACTTTCACATTGCGCGGATGGATACCTGGTTGGCGCGGATGTATACTCGGCGCGGATCATCAACATATAAGGCATGGATGTATACGCGCGAACGAGAACATCTTTAATGCCAGAGGAATCTTCAAACGTGACGCGCCAACTTGAATGCATCTATGAAGCCATTGGGTTTGCTCCAGGGAAAATTTATTTTTAAGAAGCTTCCCAATGGAAACCTTGACAAGACTAAAGTTGTTTGCACCTTGTGCAATGCGGAATTTGTTTACTGTAGAAGTTCTTCCAGTCTCAAGTACCACCTAAACGCTAAGCATCCCTTAGCTAATTTGGAAGATGCTGGACCATGTGTTGCGCAGGTGAAGAGTTTTCCTCAAACTACTATGTTTGAGTGCAACCGAGGCAAGCCCATCAGTGCAGCTCTATCAAGTAAGCTCACTGATCTCCTTGCTCAGTGGATTGCCACGAGCTGCCGGCCCATCAGCGTGGTCGAAGATGATGGGCTCGAGCTTGTTCTCCAGGCGGCCACGGGTGACTCATCCTACAAACTACCTGCGAGGCAAACAATCGTGAGGAAAATACATGACCAGCATGCAACAGAAAAAGCCGCGAAAGATGAGAAGTTGGTGGAGGCAACTTGTGTAGCACTGACTGGGGACCACTGGACCTCTGTCAGTAATGATAACTACCTCTGTGTTACTGCACACCTCATCGATGCCAGCTGGGAACTTCACTGCTTTGCTTTTGGTAGGCTGTGTCCTTTTAAATTTCATAATTAACCGAGAGGTTAACACGCGAGAGGGAGTGCTGTTGTGTTGAATATATGCATTTGTG